TGCACTTAGTTTATCTGCTTAATACATGTACTTAAGAGCAGAGTATATTTTCAAAGAAATACTACATTTTCACTATATTATGAATAGAACCCCCCTCCCCCCACCAAGACCTCTAACCCTGGGGTCATGATGATAAATGTCACAATTCCGGAATAGGCATCCTTGCTTATGTACTTATTTTGATTTTGAATGCTTAATAACATGGAGCAGAGAATATTTTCAAAGAATTTATGCATTTTCACTATATAATCAAAAGAGCCTCACCCTAACACCAGAACCCCTTGATCAAGGGGCCATGAAATTTATAATTTTGGAAGAGGCACCCTTGCTCATAATAACTATGCATTAAGTTTGTTAGCTTTTTATCCAGAAGCAGAAAAGAAGATTTTAAAAGAAATAATGCATTTTCAATATATAATCGACCCCCCCCCCCCCAATAAAACCAGAAATCCTAACTCAGGGGCCATGAAATTCATAATTTTGGAAGAGGCACCATTTTTTCATGTTAGTAGTTTATTTACAAAATATTCATGAGTATAGAAAAAGATTTTATGCATTTTCACTATATATTCAATATAGCCCCGCCCTAACACTAGAATCCCTGATCCAGAGGCCATGAAATTTACAATTTTGGAATATGCGAACTTGCTCATCATAACTATGCACTACGTTTGTCTGCTTAATACCCAGAAACAAAGAATTTTTTAAAATAATTAATGCATTTTCACTATATAATCAAATACACCCCCAAATTAGAACACCTAACCCTGGGGCAACAAATTTCACAATTCTGGAAGAGGCACCCTGCCCATCATACATGTAACTATGCATGTAGTTTATCCGCTAAATATACAGGAGAAGAGGATTTTAAAAGAATTTATGCATTTTCATAATCTGATCTAAGAGTCCCATCCTAACTCCAGAACCCCTGACCCTTGGGCCATGAATTTCATGGTAGAGAGCTTACTACAATTATGGCAACAGTTCAATTGTGTGACATTCAGCAGTAAAGAAAGGGTTTTTGAAGACAACACTAATTTTGATGGTTGTAGCCCCACCCCTCAGGCGCCCGGGGGAAGGGGGTGTCCACGAAATTCACAATTTTTGTTTCCTTTCACTCGTATAGGTTATATACCGAAATTGGTTGGAATTGGTTATGCGGTTCAAGATAAGAAGCTGAAAATGTTTAAATGCTAAAGGACGACGCACATCGCACAACGCACGACGACGGACAAAAACAGATTGCAATAGGTCACCTGAGTGACTAATATCGAAAAACCCTACATGATGCTTTTCTTCTATCCGAATGTGAGTCAACAAATAACTAACTTTTGTACAGTTCGTTTGGAAAACTTATTTTCAAACTACTTCATTCTTACAGAAAATTGCAATAAAATTGGGGCGTTTACAAACACAGTATACATTTTCCAACTGATTAAGAAAAAGATCCTTATACAGTATTCTAAAGCATGCAGTTTAATGAATACATTAGGTAGATAACGATACATCTGTAAATAAAATAGTGATCTCAATTATATCGATTACGATCATCAATTGAATTTGTTTCATATAAAGAAAACTAATTGTTCAAGATAGTATGTTAGAGTTAAAAAGAGAGTAACCTTTGTGTCGTATTTTACCATTATACATCGTGATATATTATGGATTATGTTTGTTTGTTTGTTTGTTTGTTTATTGTTTAACGTCCCTTTCGAGAATTTTTCACTCATATGGAGACGGCACCGGTGGAGAGCTACAAATTTTGACCTATACTCGGTACTCGCAGTGACGGATCTTTTTCGTGCCAGCACCTACTGTGACACAGGACCTCGGTTTATACGGTCTCATCCGAAGGACCGGTCTCCACGTCCCACAGTGGGATTCGAACCCGCGACATAAGAATCAACTCCTTACTCTGCGACCCTAGAACGAACGCTCTAACCACTGCGCCACATGAGGGACTATTTTGGATTATGAAGTAGAAATTAGTTTGTATTTGCCCCTTATCTGAATGTTATAGGAAATTTCCATATTTCCTGTTATCGGATTAACAAGTCATTTTAAAGTCCCAATCAATGTGGGTAAAAATAACAAGAGCCCCTGGACTACAACGCTCACCTGAATCATATTTTCCCTCTTTATTCCCATGAAAAACTCCGAACAAATTATTATGGCCCCATCCTTGTCCAAATGGGTTTTAATTTACCTGAAGTAGAATCCACAAAACATGTGAATGCTTAGAAATTTTTGCATGTCCTATTGATTCAGTGTACGTGCTACTCTTTTCTTTTATTTCCTATCTATTCTCAAATAAAACTCAGGTTCCGGGGCCATAAAACTTAGATGAGCTCACTTTTGATCCCAGTCTCACTTTTCCACTATACATTCCCTTTACAAAAGTGAGACTGGGATCAAAAGTGAGCTCATTTAAGTTTTATGGCCCCGGAGGCTGGACCCCATTTTACTTAAGAACTTACGACTAAGATAAAAATTTAAATCTGCTTTTAAATTTCTAATTCGCATTAAATAGCAATTGGTTTCAATATTTTAAAAAGATATGTAGAAAGATACTTTTCCGCTAGCAATTTTAAATAGAATAATTAATTTGGCAAAATTTTACAATCAACTAAAGTTTTTTGTCTTAGTTGTAAGTTCTTTTGTAAAACCTAACAATAAACTGGAAAAAAAAATCCGATGCTGGTAAGAGTTAGAAAGGTGAAGATAACGAACAGTAATCAATCTTCAAAAATCTATAAACAATGCAAATCTGTGAACATGGCATAAACACGGACCCTGGAAATTAGCTGTTAGCTGGCCCTTATCATTTGTAGTCAGTAAAATATCTAAATATGAAACAGATGTGGCAGACTCCGTGGTGTCTTTTATTTCAATTTCACTAGGATTTATCGAGTTGACATATGAATCGAAGTAACTAGTGTTAATTGATAATATGCCGTCGATATATCTAAATCTCTAGTTGAAGGCCACAGCAAGTGTTTTCTTCTTTTCAAGTAGAAGAATCTGAAGAAATTCTGCTTCATAGGAATATAAAAGCATACCCATTTTCTTTAATTCAAAATCTCGAACAAGCTAACACAAGGAATTTATTTATGAACGATAAGAAATGACCTTGAACTTTTACGATATGTAAGATAAAAGACATATGTAAGAGAGCGAGAACCCTAAATTTATCACCCATTAATAAAAAAAAAATACATTTCCGAGGCATGTGTATTGTATTTAGAGGTACCAAACAATAAATAGATACATACGATCAACAATAGATATAAATTGATATCGTTGTCATTCCTACTCTTGATGTATATAGTTCACAACAATAAAATATTTCATTTGCATTTTCTTAGGATTTGTTCATCGACATTCAACTTATTGCTTACATGATTATCCCGCGAGATTTGTACATTTTCCGACTTTTTCACAAAAGAGCGCACTAAGAAGTATAACTCTTCCATAGTGGAAATAGAACGTGCAAGAAGTTTTAATGTTGCATCAAGCACCATATCTAACGTATAAAACAGATACCAACAGCATGGTACAACAAATGATCGCCAAATATATGGCAGTATACGCGTGACATCAGAAGCACAGGATCGCTTCGATTCATTGATTTTCATAATCTTCATCAACGTTCCACAATGTCGTCGTCTGCAGAATTAGCTAGCCGTGAACAACACAGAATATCAAACAAGGCCGTTTGCAATTGCCGGAATTTGAGCCAGAGGACTTATTCATGCCGTTGCTCTGAATCCAGAACACCACAAATATCGACTTTACAGGTGTCAGACCCGCAGAGTATGGCCACAGTCACACCGCTGAAAAGTTTGGTAGCTCCAGGACTTTTTGAGAATGACATTAGAACTTACGGATGGACAGATGGACGGACGGAGATGCCCAAATTAATATCCTCCACTTCAGTTAAAGGGGGGGGGGACAATTAAATTAGCACCCGGAGTTTCACATTTTGAGTCCCTTCTGTCATTTTAGACGTCCTGATTATTAACCCTAATGTGATATTGTGCAATATGCAACTTCACCCAAAGCCCTTGGATTATAAAGAGATTTGTAATTCAATCATTAAAGCATGAAACAGGTGTGCCCTTTAAGGAAACGGATACCGATCAAAGTCTTCAAATGACTGGATCAACACTTCGCCTAGGTTTTTATTAGACTTTAATTTTAAAAGAACAAGTTTCTTTTTTATTTCGGGGTTTCAATCGTGACAGATTTCTATCACTTTAGCTATTTTTAAAAAAAAATCAAGTCAATTTTTACTGTACAGATTCATTTATACATGTGAAATGATTATTTATGAACGATTCTCTCCCAAAGATATGAAAAGTTCTGTATGGATTTTTTTTTTCTTTATAGTTCTGCACATGCAAGACATTTTCAGGAAATTGTACTTTTGTTCACGGATTTCGCAGAATTTGTGCGTCCACCTGTCATTCTTTCACATATACCTTAACATAGGTCATAATAGATACATCTGCAGGTTTTTTTTTTTTTAAATTTCACATGTGCATTACCGGTGACAAGATCTTTCCAAATATACCATGACTTTTGACTTCGTGAACTTGAATTTTGACCTTCTTTTCAAAAGGAGATGGGTGAACAAGGCCCACAGTATGCTTATAGCTTCAGTTATATTCTCCCTCACTTCGTTCTACCGAATATAAATTAATGAAGTGCTAAATTAATAAAACACAACACATATTAAGTATAGGAACGCTGCTCGCTAGTGCTTTTATTCCATTATAAACTGCTAACAGATAACCATAACACATTAACTAATACAACTGTATAGCCCAAATTCATTGCACTCCATTGGATTTGTATCACTATCAGCCATATCTTTAAATCCTAGCGAGCGAGCTTAGAGTGCCGTGCTACCGCATGGCCTTACTATTTATACCCTATATAACCACGTGACTTTCAAAGATATATAAACAAATATAAGTTCACAAAAAAATAATTTTAATAATTATATACACATAGAACGTAATTTATATGCGTAGATTCTTCGTAACATTCAACTGCTTTGATACAGAATCCTTAATATAATTGTCCCTTGAAAATTTTGTCTTCCAACGACCATGTATTTTTAATAACCTGTCATTTACCCCACATGAAGCTGCAGAAGTAGCGCCACCGCTACGTAAACTATGTAGACCAAACAGTTTTGGATCCAAACCAATGGACGATAAAGAATCAAGTAATATTTCACGTGCATGCCCTGGTGTAAGAAATAGGCTTGTTGATATTACAAAGTCTGTGACATTTATCTGATTTGAAATAACGTACAGACCTAAAAACGAAATCGTCTGGTTTTTCTGATATTTCCGCTAATTGTAAATAATGTTTTGTCCAAAACACGGGGCATGTAGCATTACCTGTACTTGCAATGAGAACATCATTACCCCGTCTATAAATGTCAGTTTTACTACTCTCAACATGTAAAAATCATGAAAAGAAATATTTCTAACTCTTAAATTAGCTAATTCATTAAACCTTAAAAATCCCGCAAACCCCATCAGAAACATAGCACACACTCTTACACTTAATAAGTCACTTTTTCGACTGCCATCACCGTATTTGTTTATGATCTGCTCCAAAATTTCGGGCGTTATGGGTTCTTTCTTCTGAATTGGTTTACAAAGGATTCTTTTTCCCCCTTCCATAACCATATGTAGAATTTTTGTATCACACGGATTAACGCACACATTGAAATCGTGGAACCACTTGATACTGTAAAAATAGGCTGATAACACTGATTCTGACACCGACTGCTGCACGAGACTGCTAAGAAAAACGGCCACCGTACTCACTGCCGCGGGTAAATAAGAAACACCATGATCTGAACACCAGGTCCTAAACTTTTTAAAATATGCGTCGTACATTTTATTTGAACTATCACTCTTCCCTTTTCTGATTATGTGCTGAATATTTGATGCTGCTGAATAAAGTCTGCTGTCCTTTTTCATTTCCTGAATTTCTGTCCAAACACTGCGCATCTATGAAAAAAAAATGTTCTCATATTAAGGTTATGAACCACCAATCACATCTAAATACATGCAGATCGACTTAATAATTTCATCACAAAAACTCTTGTTTTTAAACAATTAGACAAATCTTTTTGCATATGCTGCGTAATTTTTTGCACATGGTGCCATTGCTAATAAATCAATTCACACAAGCTTTGCACATGGTGCATGCATTTACATTGTACATTGAATTGCACGTGGTGCTCAATTGTTTAACCTCTCAAAATTTACTTTCAAAACCAGCACGTTACTCTGAAATTTTTCTGATGCAAAAATACTGTTTTTGTCTGAACCAGCTGTGAAAAATTTTGTAGGCCTTTTATATTCATAAAACTTCAGCACAAAATCGTGAAATTTAGTTTACCTTTCATTCCAAACCATCGGCCAAAACAAAACGGAAATCCATTTTGGAATTATTAATGTACCAAAATTAATGCTTTACATATTTGCATATGATTGATAACTTTGCATATCAAAGCAGGTGGGGGTACAATCCAACAATTTTCATCAGCCCAATTTTGTGCAAACGCATCAACCCCTGAAGACCCGGGAGTCCAAAATCTAGAATAAAATTTTTTAACCTTTCTATTCTTACTATCTGCAAAAAAATCACATGTATATTCTCCACAAACTTCATTAAAAAAATTAAAAATTCTGTTTGAAACTCCCCAATCATCATAATCCTAAATCTTGCTTAACTCATCTGCAGCTGTTTTCATAGTTTTAGGAATCCATTCTAACTCTAATTTTATAGAATGCGCAACGCACAAACCAAACATTTCCAAAGCAAGCTGATGCAGCTTGTAATTCATACTACCCTTAGAAGCAATAAGTACTGCATTTCGATTATCTGTATACACTTTAACAAGCCTACCCGACAGATAATTATGCAAACTTTCAATAATCACACAAATAACTTTTATTTCTCGTCACGTAGAACTTTTTAATTTTTCTGAATCACTCCACATGTAATGCACAACCTTTTCATTTTGTTCTTAAGAAAAACCTGCTCCCGGAAAAGAACTAGCATCCGAAAATAAAACTTTTGCGGGTGTTCTTCTAAACCATGTGATTTTTGATCTTGGTAAAGTGCCCAAATTCTTATACCAAAAAAGCAATTCAATAATACAGTCACGTGACGTATTCAACACACAATCCCAACTAGTTCTCTTACACAATGCCATGCTCAAATGTCGTGTCATCAGCTGACAAATATTACCTAATGCAGATTTCAATGAAATTACCTTTCCCACAATGGAAGCGATATTTACTCTACTTATATTGTTCACTATTGACGCAACAACAGAACGGATACTGTCAATTTTTTCATTCGGAACTTCTAAAATGCCATCCTTCAGATTCCATAAAAATCCTAACCAAATCATTTTATCTACTGGAATAAACTGAGACTTTTCAATATTAACCTGGAACCCTGAGTGATCTAACGTTTTTTGCAGAAACGCGGCTATTTCTAGACAAGAATTGTAATCAGAACACATCCAACCATCATCGAGATAAACTACGACCGGAATGCTATGAGATCTCCAATATTTTACCAACACTCTGACAACTTTTGTGAAAATATGCCCCGCAGAAGAAAGCCCAAAAGGCAAAACAGTAAATTCAGAATATTTCTGTTTTCCTTGAAATTCCCAACTAAACCCTAAATACTTTTGGAATTCAGGATGTACATCTATATATATGGTGATAACCGGATTTTAAGTCGAATTTAATCATGAATTTTCCTTCTTTAGCATATAACATAGCTTCCTTAATTCCCTCAAATTTATTTTTTTGTTTCTCGATAAACTGATTAACATGTCTGAGATCTAAAAACAAGACGTTTTTTACCAGACGCGTTAACAGATACTGTCAAAGGATTAACTACAAAAGATGGTTCATGAACCTCTCTAATACATCCATTTTTAATTAAGTCTGAGATAGCCGAGCAAACAAATTCTGTATGATTTAATGAAGACCTGTTATTTTTTAAAATAATACTAGATGGAAGTTCTTTGAAAGGGATAGAATACCCGCATCTTATAGTATTCAAAATAAAACTATTAAAATTTAAGCTCAGAATTCCAGAAATTTATGCTTTTCGTGAGCTTGGATTTAACACTGACCATCTTAACATTTTGCTCATATTCATATTGCTCATTTAAATCAAACATATACTCAACTTCACTATTTTCATTGCTTAGAGGTTCCACTTGTAGTTGATGTTGACAAGGAGGGGATGGGCTGTCCTTTAAGGTAGGGACAGTCTCTGACCATGTGTCCGACTTGCCGACAGTAGAAACATCCGCCACGATCTCTTTGGAACTGGAATCCTGTAGTTCCGACCCTTGTAGCCCCTGTATTGAATTTTCGGAGGAATTATACGACTGGCTAAAGCCACGAAAAAAGTCACTGGGCGCAAAACTGCCTCTGCGTCTCTCATATGGTTTGCTTCTGAAGGAACGTTTTCTTGCAGCGCGTCCCACCGCGTAACGAAGCTTAGCGGCATCTTCAGTATTATCCGCCAAGGGTCATCGATATACTCGTGCACAGTATCCCATCCGTGACGGTCGGCGATTTTTAAAATTTTGTTTCTCTGCTGTAGGGCAGTCTTTTCTTCCGCAATAACTGCTGCGGCCTTTGTAAAATCCCCCTCTGAATGAGTACTTCAATTTCAGACAACTTAGAAATTCTATCTTGGTTAAAAACGAATTGAATCTTATGCCCCTCATGCTTAAATTCAAATGTTTGTCCGGACTCAGGCACTTGTCCTCCACTTTTCAAGGCATTACTTTTTCCTAGTTGTTCTTTAAGTCCCGTAATTGTACTCACGATCACACTACTTTTTCTAACGCTTTATTGAGTGAAGCACTAAACAGCGAAACGGCCTCCTCGTTTGAGAGCCCAAATTCATTGCACTCCATTGGATTTGCATCACTATCAGCCATATCTTTAGATCGTAGCGAGCGAGCTCAGAGTGCCGTGCTACCGCATGGCCTTACTATTTATACCCTATATAACCACGAGACTTTCAAAGAAACTTTTCGAACACACTACATAATACCATGCCGCACATAATTTTAAATATATAAGAATCATAATCAATTTGTGAGTTTAGTATTTAGAGTAAAGTTCTCATTATTGAAATTTATGAAATTAATGATAAACAAAACTTTCCAGAGGAAATTTTCTAGGCAAAAATTATTCTGTTGTTAAAAAAATAGTGTGGTATTCGTGGGGTTTGAACCCTAGCAATAAAAATCCTAAGTATCATTTTCCTTTGCGACTAACACGCTAACCACTACGCTACACAGCTATTGATGAATTGTGACATTTGATTATGTTTGTGATATGACCCTTGACTATAGATGCGAATGTTATGTTATAAAACTTAAGTGTATTTTTAAGGTATATATAGTAGGTCTTTGCTCCATGTTTTCTTTGTTTGTTTGTGTTTGTGTTTTTTGTTTTTCACAAACTTTGAGGAAAAACTTTGACAAATATGGAGTGAAGACCCACTCATATCGAAAAATTGTGTTTTACTATGAGAAAATGATCCTTGTTTGCCCTCTCTAGTGTGTGCATGCTATTTCATAGGCAAATAATTTCAATCTTGGTGAGATTTTTGCAAATTGTGGAGATTTTATGTAAAGTGTACTTTAATTTTAGATGAAATATCAAAGAAAATTTTGTCATAATTGAGATTTAACTTTTCACCTTCATGCTTGTTGCACAACAGGCATTTCGCTTATCTTCTTTTATATTGGTTATAACTTTTTCACAAGTGTCAAGACTTTTCTGAATATACTGTGATTTTTTTTTACTTTATGACCTTGTCTTTAAGTTTGACCTAAAAAATAACATTGTAATAACTTTTGAATGAGAGAAGATAGGGCTCTCATATTTTACATACGCATAACCTGTGACGAGACCTATTTGATTGTACTAAAATTTTAGAACTCTTGAATCTGATCTTGAAGTTTGAAGCAGTTTTTCACAAAATTGATCTTCACCGTAATTTTTTCACCAGCACATATTAAAATTTAAAAAGTCTAACTATTTTTGTATGATGGACAGACAAGACAGAATATGTTATAGATCACTGCACCTCGACCAATAGGACCAAGTGGAGGATGACAATTCTCTGGATTTAAGTTTGGATTTAAATTGTTACATTCATCTTATTATTCTGGAAAATGGATAAAATAATATAAAAAGGAATCAAGGCGGTGAAAATTGAAAAACTGGAGGGTAAAAACTACTATACGCCGCCTATATTGCGGTTTAATTTAAATAAATATATTAAAGCTTAATGTCTCGGGGGTCCTTTTTTTTTGTTTGGTTGGTTGTTTTTTTTTTTTTTTTGTTTTTGTTTTTTTTTCTTTGACTTAAATTCGGTAAAAGTATGAGAGAGTAATGTAGAGAGCAACATTTATACATACGAATTGTACACTGCAATAATTATTTGCAGTACCACATAAAAAAAAAGAATACCATGGATTTTCTTTTAAAATGAAAGACGTGTTACGTATTAATTTCAGAAGTATAAATACTTGACTAAATAATGATGTCCTTTTGTGAGAGGTGGGATCTGATCCGACCCATTGTTACTGTTTTATGTCACGTCAACGACGCATATTTTGAACCCTAGCAATAAAAATCCTAAGTATCATTTTCCTTTGCGATTATCACGCTAACCACTACGCTACACAGCTGTTGATGAATTGTGACATTTAAATTATGTTTGTGATATGACCCTTGACTATAGATGCGAATGTTATGTTATAAAACTTAAGTGTATTTTTAAGGTATATATAGTAGGTCTTTGCTCCATGTTTTTTGTGTTTGTGTTTTTTCCCCCCAAAAAATGTATATTTTTTCACAAACTTTGAGGATAAACTTTGACAATTACGGAGTGAAGACCCACTCATATCGAAAAATTATGTTTTACTATGAGAAAATGATCCTTGTTTGCCCTCTCTAGTGTGTGTATGCTATTTCATAGGCAAATAATTTCAATCTTGGTGAGATTTTTGCAAATTGTGGAGATTTTATATAAAGTGTACATGTACTTTAATTTTAGATGAAATATCAAAGAAAATTTTGTTAAAATTGAGATTTAACTTTTCACCTTCATGCTTGTTGCACTATAGGCATTGCGCTCGCTTTCTTCACTCATCTTCTTTTATATTGGTTATAACTTTTTCACAAGTGTCAAGACTTTTCTGAATATACTGTGATTTTTTTTTTTTTTTACTTTATGACCTTGATCTTTAAGTTTGACCTAAAAAATAACATTGTAATAACTTTTGAATGAGAGAAGATAGGGCTCTCATATTTTACATACGCATAACCTGTGACGAGACCTATTTGATTGTACTAAAATTTTTGACCTCATGGCCCTGATCTTGAAGTTTGAAGCAGTTTTTCACAAAATTGATCTTCACCGTAATTTTTTCACCAGCACATATTAAAATTTAAAAAGTCTAACTATTTTTGTATGATGGACAGACAAGACAGAATATGTTATAGATCACTGCACCTCGACCAATAGGACCAAGTGGAGGATGACAATTCTCTGGATTTAAGTTTGGATTTAAATTGTTACATTCATCTTATTATTCTGGAAAATGGATAAAATAATACAAAAAGGAAATCAAGGCGGTGAAAATTGAAAAACTGGAGGGTAAAAACTACTGCACACCGCCTATATTTCGTTTTAATTTAAATAAATATATTAAAGCTTAATGTCTTGGGGGTCTTTTTTTTTTTTTTTTTTTTTTTTTTTTGGTTGGTTGGTTGGTTTTTTGTTGTTGTTTTTTTTTCTTTGACTTAAATTCGGTAAAAGTATGAGAGAGTAATGTAGAGAGCAACATTTATACATACGAATTGTACACTGCAATAATTATTTGCAGTACCACATAAAAAAAAAAGAATACCATGGATTTTCTTTTAAAATGAAAGACGTGTTACGTATTAATTTCAGAAGTATAAATACTTGACTAAATAATAATATTCTTTTTGTGAGAGGTGGGATCTGATCCGACCCATTGTTACTGTTTTATGTCACGTCAACGACACATATTTTATTAATCTGATAAAATCAGAGATGATACAGAATGCTGTAATACTTACTATAATGCATTATCAATGATAGTACTCAATTATTAAATTTTATACTTGTATTCATCGAAATTCTATGCAATATTAATGCATTATCAAATCTATAGTACGCAATTCTTTTTTACTTGTATTCACTATAAATTGTATACAATAATAAAGCATTATTGACAGTACTAATACACCCTTTTTTTTTTTACTTGTATTCACTATAAATTGTATACAATAATAAAGTATTATTGACAGTACTATTTTTGTTTACTTGTATTCACTATAAATTATATTCAATACATGTATGCGTATAATAAATGTTATTCGTTTCGCCATTTTAATGATTTCGTTTCACTCAAATCTTAATAATAAACTATAAGCCATAAGGAAATCTTAGATCTCACCACACTACTATTTATCATGAAATTATTGATTTACATCATCATTACGAATGAATGACCTAGCTTTAATTGTCTATTAGAATAATTAGACCTTTAAAAAGAAACAAAAGTGTTACAGAATCCTTACAAATTAAAAATAAATGACTGCGGTGCAATGATGACAACACTGGTTTTACTTAGATCTAAAAAACATACACGGACATTACACAGAAACACGTACCTTTGAATGAAGATACAGCCACTGATCGAAATATCTTGTATAAAAATCAATGCACTCTGAATATCGATTCCTTATATGCATGACATCGTTCGTTGGACTTTCAATTAAGTTTTTTAAGCAATATTGTCAGGTATATTTAAAGTATTCGAAATTCGGTCGTTACACTTCGTTGCTCATGGGTACCGTAAAATCTACAAATTGCGAAATTAGGTTTGATTTTTTTGTTGGCTTCCGTGTCCCACCTATACAAATCAGGGTAGTTATATTGGTGATGAATGTAGGATTACACACTGTTTTATTTACACCAACTGATCGGTATTTATTTCTTTTAATCAAATGACAACCCTTTCCTCAGGCCCGTAAGAAGCAATTTTAGTTTGGGGGCACTACCAAAACTAACAAAAAATTCCTTGACAAGCGAAAAAAAAAGCCATCAGACGTTATTATTGAGAAGGCACAAGCATATAGTAGTTATGTTTTTCTATAGTATTCTATATATCGGCAAAATTACCCCCCCCCCCCCCGGGTTCCTACGGCCATGTTCCTACTCAATATTTATTTGTGACATGATTAATCTTGAACGTACAAGACTAGTAAATAAAGATCATGAAAACAAGCAAAGTGCTATATATATTTTTGGATCAACAGATATGGTAAAAATAAATATACATTCTCAGGTACATATTCTATGCAAGTTTGATCATTGTTTGGCTTGTAATTACTGGCGATTTATCTCCCCCAAAAAATTCGAACCTGGTTTTTCATCTGGAAAATAGAGGTTACATACA